AAGCGGGGTCGAATGGAAAGAGACAGATCAACGGTTCAAACCATCCCCCAAATTCAACTACTCCACTTTAGCTCCTGAACGAGAGCAGCAACGGATCATTGAAGCAATGTACGCTAAGCAGTTCCCTAAGGAGTATAGGAAGGAACAGGACGCTCGAGCCAGTGCTAGTGTTGACCCGACCACTCAGAGTTTAGACCTTCTTTATGAAAAATTGGATAGAGAGATACATCACAGGAGGTGTAGACAGAGGTAGATGGAGGGGTTGTTAGTCTAGATTGCACGGAAATTGGACATTGATGGGCCGGATGTTGGAGATACGAGCACTTAGGCTGAAAATGAGGATGGGTTGCTTAGAGAGGAACAAGAAGTTGGAGCATCTGGTTCTAGTCTGGGTGAGGGAGATGATATGGCTGTCGATCCATTCGCAGAGGGTGATGAGGTTTAGGGGGTTGGCAATTAGAGGAGGAGGATGACTAGCTGGGGCTGTTTCTACTGTTGTTGTTACTTGTTTTCTATCGTTTGCTTTTGTTTGTGTTCCTTGAGTTTCTTGTGACTTTATTTGTTTCGTGTTTTGTTATCTGCTTCGTTGTTTCTAGAAAGGCTATTGATGGCCTGTTAGATTGATTGTGGTTATTGAAATGTATTTGTTATTGTTGCTTATAACTGCGTTAACTGTTGAGAACTGTGAAATATTTTGATAGTTGATTGATCTTTTCATTGATTAATCTGTGGATAACAATAGTAATTGCTGATTTCATTGAGGTTATCTGATAGTGATACTGTTGATAAGTGTGCATATTGTTATTCTTGTACAGGAAGAAAGCTAATTTTGACCTTTCATGCAACGGATATATTGTTTTTGGATTCTGGTTGCATGCCCTGACCTTCACTTACCCTTCTTGATAGTGAGGGCACTGTCAGTTTTAAGTTTAGGGGTAGGGGTTGATTTTTGTGGATAACAGGATTTTTTGTTGATAACGTGGTTAAATTTGAAAAGTTTTGAAAGTTTTGAAAGGTCACTTTGTTGAGTAAATATTTTGAGTAAAAAGAGAAAATAGTTGAAATAGTGAAAATTTTATGATCTTAAATTTTTGCTCGTTTGGTTTTATGAAAGATGAGCTGAAGTGGTGAGTTTTTAGTTGAAAATGTATGAATGGTCCAATGATTGAACAAAATGCTTAGTTACTATGCTTGATAGGAAGTTGTGAATTCCCTTTGATGCTTGAATTGTGAGGTTAAAACATGTTTTTCTTTAATTTTGGAGAAACTAATACACAAAAAGGGGTCAAGACATTTCAAGTGATTATGTTGAGGTTGAGTGGATAATTTAGCCTTTATACTTTTGTTTCAACTAAGTAGCTTCAGAACCTTCTTCTAATTCCTTAAAGCTTATGGTTTGTTCTATATGAATTTGGAAAATGATTAGGGTATTCTGTTAATTGCGGTTGAGCCTTTCAAGCTTACCTATGACATTATTTCCAACTGACCCCCACTACTAGAAAAAAGACCTTTAACGTCGCAAACTAACGGCGGTTCAGCAGAAAAACGAAGTGGAAAAAAACGCGGTGGCATTTTTGTAAATAAGTTGAAGGGGTTATGAATTTCCACGGCGGTTTTCAATAAAACCGCAGTGGAAAGTATTTTCCACGGCGGTTCTTTAAATAACCGCCGTGGAAACTATTTTTAACGGCGGTTCTTTAAAGAACCGTCGTTAAAAACACTTTCCACGGCGGTTTTATTGAAAACCGCCGTGGAAAGTGTGTTCTTCTACCCACTTTCGGCCGCTCGACTCCTCACTTTCTTTCTCATTTCTTCAGTGCGCCGTGGTCCCCCTCTGCCCCACCACCATAAAACTGCCATTACCGGCCATTCCCGCCTCTAACCCACCGTTTAAACTCCTCCATTGAGCCCTTGGAGCCTTGCCGCCGTGCGCCGCACTCCGCCGTGGTCGATTGCGCCTCCCATTTCCGTCGGTTCTTGCTCAGCCGTGGTCCGTTGCTGAAAACCGGTCGTACCCTCCACTATCTAACCGAAGACCGGTCCGTTGCCGCCGTCCGCCGCCGTCCGCCGCCGCTCACTTCGCGTTTGAAGCTTCTCTGCTTTGTGAGTATCCTCTTCTTTCATTCTTTTCAATTTTTCTTGGTTTGTTGAATGTTTTAGCCATGAAAATCTGTTATATATGAAATGGGTTGTTAGTTTTACATTGTGGTTAGCTTCTATGGTTCATTTTGCATTTTTATGTGGTTGAACCGTTGATTGGTGTTAATTGGTAGGCATTAGATGTGAGAAAACCTTAATTCCTTTTTACATACTGTATTAAAAATATGTTAAAATGTTTGGAGTTGATTAATTGTGAAGTTTTTAAATTTTTTTATAATTTTTTGATATTTATTTCGAATTTTTGATAATTTTTTGTAATAAATATAAGAATTTAGTGATAAATAATCTGTTAGTTATTTTGTGTTTTTTTCCTTCGTTATGAATTTTGATTGATAGTAAAGTATTGTTTAAATAATCTGTAGAACAATGGATCGTAGTTGGATGAAAGCTAGGAGAATTAGCAAGGAATATGAGGATGGGGTTGAAAAATTTCTTGAGTTTGCTCAGAGAAATGCCCCTAGTAAAGGAGATGGATTGTACTATTGTCCTTGTGTCAAATGTTTAAACAATAGTCGACGGAGTATTTCTGAGATAAAAGAGCATCTTATCTATAATGGGATAAATTTGAGGTATACAAATTGGATATGGCATGGAGAAATTAGAAAGACTACACTGTCTGCAAATGAGAAGGTTGTTAATGAAGACTTTGGTGATAGAATTTCGGATATGTTTCGTGATATAAGGTTTGAATCCTCTACACAGTTTTCTTCCACCTTTGAAACTTTGTGTAGTGATGCAGAGACACCTTTATACCCGGGGTGCAAAGATGATTACACAAGATTGACAACCGTATTGAAACTAATGAATTTGAAGGCAAGAAATGGTTGGACCGATGCTAGTTTTACGGAATTGCTTGAATTGCTGAGTGATATTCTTCCCAAAGGGAATTCACTTCCGAAACGAATGTATGAGGCAAAAAAGATTTTGTGTCCGATGGGTTTGAAATATGAGAAGATACATGATTTCCATTGTACAAAGAAGTAGTTACTTCTATTTCAGAATTGTTGGACCTAGCTAGCCAATACGTGTTCCTTGGTTACCACTTAGTTCTATTATGTTGGCCGGTTTCCCTATTTTCGAATTGTGTAAAAAAAAATTTCATTGCTGTATATTAACTAGCTAATTGATCTTGTTCTGCGTGATCTGTACTGCCTACATTTGTTTGGAGCTGTAAACTGCAGGATGGTAAACACGAAAATTTCGCAGAATTTAAAAAAAAAAAAAATTTAACGGCGGTTATACATATAACCGCCGTTAAAACCCTTTTCCACGGCGGTTCTATAGTTAACCGCCGTGGAAAGTCCACTTTCCACGGCGGTTAAAAACCGCTGTGCTTTCCTTGCCTTTCAACGTCGCCTTTAACAACTACGCCTTCAAAACCGCCGTTAAAAGCCACTTTTAACCGCCGTTAAAAGCCTTTTTTCTGGTAGTGCCCTTACTTGAGCCTTTAACTGAAAAACCATGTTACTTCTTTTTAGAACCCACAGCTGACCCTAGGCTTTGCAACATGAAAAACCATGAACTACCCTAATCTTGAGATAATTGACATATTATTATTGGTAGTGAGGATGGGTAGGTATGGTTGTTAGAGGAGGTATGTGATTGTAAAATTGGGTATGGGGATGGAATTAGTGCATGGTATTCAATAGTTTGTACTCCTCAGTTAGGTAAGTTACTTTGATTTTTTAAAAAAAATTTCAATTCCAATAAGACTTGGAGTACAAGGAATCATTTTGAGATAAGTTTGGTGGAGTGTTTAGCTTCTTGAAAGAAAATTTTGTTTGACAAAGAGTGGAGAGTACACATGGTCAGTTATCTCGAGATATTTGAATTCCCTCTTTCCCATTCTTTCAATGAGCCTAATGCTTTAACCCTAAGCCACACTACAAGCCGAAAAGTTCCTTTGATTTCACTTTTATGTGGGGTGAGTTGTAGGCGTAGAGGGAGAAGGAGTTTGGCTTATAAAGGTAGGCAGTTGAAGATTAGTATATTGGTTAAAGTTTCACACTCTGCTAGGCTATTGTCATGAGAGATGTTCGTTGACCCTATACACGCACTCACACTCCAAAATCATTTAAAGTTTATTTTAAGCTCATGAAACTTGTTTCTTTGGGTGATTTAGTAATTTTCTATCCTGTATGTTTTCTTGAGCATTTGATGAGGATATAACTGTTCCTACAATCTTTGATGTGCAATTTGTTATTCAGTTGTTGGTTTATTGTTTTATTCAAGGACGAGCAAAAGTCTAAGTTTAGGGGTGTAATAACCTCTTAAAATTTCTATTTATTCAATTTGTTTTAGCGGTCTTTTATTTGTTTTGGAAGTCAACTTTGCAGGAAAAAGTCTGAAGCAAGTAAGGAAGAGAGATCAGAAGTAGAGAGCTTACATTACAAGTATTTATTATTTATATACTAATGGATGCTGAAAGCAACTTTCCATAACAAAAGTTACATATATTTTTTTTTATTAAAAGATGACATGTGAAACAAGTTTTATACGCAATGTAAATTTATTCAAGCGAGAATCTCATGAAAAAAGTTTGAAATTACTAAATTCCAAATCACGATTAGTAACAAAACTTTAATAGGTTTTGACAACACTGAATATGTAAATAACAATGTATTTTTGTAAAAATTTCTTACATAAAATTTAATAATTTCAAACTTGTTTTTGTGGGATTCTCCTTTTATTTAAATGTTTGATGATGAAAATAAAAAAACTACTTAATTATATTATTTTTCTTGCCATAACCCAGAAATTATTGTCACTTTCAATTAGTAGGTTCTTGTCGGTAAGAAAATATAACATGCATTCTAAATGGCGTATGGCTGTTCATGTCATCCAATGTGTGATATATATGTGGAAGCTGATTCGTGCAGGACAAAGCAATAAATTGCGGACACAAATTATTGCAATTATTGTCCCCTCCATTATTTTTCTAGTGGCGATTCTCGTTTTGTGCTTCTACATGGTACCTAGAAGAAATTCAAATTCAAAGAAGAAATCACAAAAATCCACTGATCTCTCAGAAAATTGTAAGCAATATATAATACTATTTGATTAATATAGAAAATTACGTCCTTTAGATTTTGCATAGTCTAACTGGATTCTTACATATGTTTCTGCTTTAACGTTATTTTATAGTTGGGGTTGAATTATTACGACAATGGATTCCTTGCAAATTGACATGGCTACAATTAAAGTGGCTACGGACGATTTTTCTGAAAAAAGCAGGATTGGCAAAGGTGGATTTGGAGAAGTTTATAAGGTGATAATTGCGATGAATTAAAGACAATAAATTAATGGTTTTTTTTTTCCTTTTGTAAACTTCATGAGTTGATTTTAACTGATGGCTTGAAGTTTTTTAGGGAGTTCTTCCTAATGGACAAGAGATAGCTGTGAAGAGATTGTCAAGAACTTCATCGCAGGGAGTTGAAGAATTCAAAAATGAGGTTTTGCTGATAGCTAAACTTCAACACGGAAATTTAGTAAGGTTACTGGGATTCTGCCTTGAAGATGATGAGAAGATACTTATCTATGAATATGTGCCTAACAAAAGCCTTAACCATTTCCTATTTGGTATGTCATATAAAAAATCTATTTCTAGTCTATGAAAGTTTTCAATATATCAGAATGCAATTAGTTAATTTCTTTTTTTGCTGTTTGGTTTATGTTCAGATCCTTTGAAGCAAAGGAAATTAACTTGGCCTGAACGTTTTAAGATTATAAAAGGAATTGCTCGAGGAATCCTATATTTACATGAAGACTCTCGTCTTAAGGTCATACATCGTGATCTTAAACCAAGCAATGTTTTGTTAGATAGTAACATGAGTCCAAAAATCTCAGATTTTAGTATGGCAAGACTAATAACACTAGACCAGGTTGAAGGAAGCACAAACAGGATTGTTGGAACATAGTAAGTACAAAATTCTCTTTTCCTCCTTCCATGCTTTTATATCAATAATTGTTCAAATACTAACAAGTTATATATTTTCAACGGCTATATATATCCAAAATATGCAATGCATGGATATTTTTCTATAAAATCTGATGTCTTTAGTTTTGGAGTGATGATGCTCGAGATTATCAGTGGGAAAAAAGAATTCATATTCTTATGAATCATGTCGCATTGATGATCTCTTAAGCAACGTGAGTATTCTTTTTCTCTGCCTTTGTTGTATCGTCATGTACATAGATAAAAAGAAGACTAATTAATTAAGCTAATAACATGATTAATTAACTAAATTGACTAACATTTATGCTGATTAATATATAAATTGTTGCCGGCTTGGAGAAAATGGAGGGATGAATCAATAGAGGAATTGATGGATCCAGCAGTGAGAGAATCACATTCTCAACAAGAGCTGTTTAGGTGCATCCAGATTGGTTTATTGTGCGTTCAAGAAAATCCAGATGATAGGCCTACAATGGGAAACGTTACTTCATATCTTAGCAACATTACAGTTGAATTACCATATCCTCTGGAACCTGCGTTTTTCATGCGAGGTAGAAGAAGACGAAACCATATGCATGATCCCAATTCTGATCACTCCACCAATTACTCTGTCTCCTCATCCATTAATGAGATGTCCATCAGCAAATTTTTCCCTCGCTAATGATTATTAATTACGTATATGTGAAAAAAATTGTAACTATACAATATTCAAATTCTAGATTGTTTTGTTGCTCTATAGTTTTTATTTTTATTTGAAAGGGTGAGCACTGACAATTTGAAGTTATTAACGGGATCAAACCCATAACTTCTTATATATAGAATAGCTTTTATGCCACTGAGTTACAACGACATTGGCAGGTTGCTCTATAGTATTATAGTGATGGTGTGTTGGAGGCACAACCCAAATCTCCTGGGTCTGTACGTAGTGCATAAATTGTAATTTGATGTGTTTAACATTGGTTCATTTACTTTTGACACAATGCAATCGATTTGATTACTTTGCAATATATAATCGTATCCTAGATTGCATGCAAATTATGCAGACAGCGCAAAATGATAAGAGGAGATTAGTATAAGCTTTTGAAAATGGAAAACTACATACAAATAAAGAAATAGAAGGAAATAAAACTCTCCTTAAACATCAATTTAAAGCAGTTCTATTTTTTTAAAAAAATGCATCGTCCAGCAAGCTAAAGCTGAAGGAATATTGAAACCCTTGAAACAAGCTTCAAGAACTTTATAACTTATGATAATGCCACAAATATATGTAACTTCAATAAGTTTGATAATCTTTCCCGGAAAAATAACGAAGAAATAACCCTCTCTGAAAATATACAATTCAACGTCAGTGTCGTTTAAAATTTCTGAAAGCACGGTTCATGCACTATTTCAAAATAAACTAATTAAGCCCAAGTAGCTGATGGGTCGAACCTAGAAAAACTTAAACTAAAATGCAATCCTAGCCTTGGGCACACAAATGGATTCCTAGTTCAAGTAGAACTAATAATCACTTTTTTGTCATGCGAAAACTAATAGCCACTTTCGCTGAATAGTTATTTAGAATTTAGCACTCGGTATCCTTGCTTCAATGAGTTTTAGCTTTAAAAGTGCTATTGTAGCAAATGAATCCCTACTTAAATGTACATTTTAATTTAGTTTGATAATTATTCCTAAGATTTGGCCTTGAATAGAGCTTAATGGCATAGTATGACCTATGTAGCCGATTCTATTTAGTGGGATAAGGCTTTGTTATTGTTGTATTATTTGTAGCGGGAATCTTGGACTTCGTCCAAGTTGAATTCTCTTTTCTATCCCAAACTGTACGATTCTACTATTGACTTCAAAATGGAACAATTTCTTTTGTTCTTTGCTGTATGCTTATAGTTGACTGAATTGGCAGAGGAAGGGCCAGGTAAGGTGGGGGATATAAACAAGGTTGTTTGTGAGGACTGGAATCAATGCTGACCGAAACGCAAATTCCACGAATCTACCGTTCATCTTTCTCTATCAATCACATACCTTCACTAGAGAATAGTCATGACATCTCTTAGCCTAGAAAATGTCCTAAAATTAGTTGAGTTCATCATTGTTCGATAGCATATGAATCATTATTTGCATCTCATTTCTTAACTTAAATTACAGAGGTGATCATCGTCGGATCAATTGGCAGTGAAGGATGGGTAGCATCAAATGCCTTGTGCTCGTTTTCATGTTTCCAGCGCTAATGCTTAGCTTTGGCGCTGAACAGGTTACAGCTTTCCAGTTCATTGAATCAGACTGTTACCCTCTTACTGATAACAAAACTAACCATACGTATGAAGCTAATGTGAAAGCTCTCCTCTCCGATCTCAGCCCCAATTCCACCCAAGACAATGGCTTTTACAATTCACTTGCTGGCTGGGGAACCACAAATCCTATAAGGGGACAAGCTCTTTGCCGTGGGGACGTCACTCCCTCCACATGTCAACACTGTGTCTCACTCGCAGCCCAAAAAACTTTAACCTCTAGCCTTAACTGTACTGAATTCATACTCTACTACGACCTTTGCATGTTGCGTTACAACAGCAAATCCTTCAAGTTCGATGGCATAGTCGATGATGGCGTCTCTTGGTCAGGTAACAAGACGGAAATCTCTGACAAGAGCCGTTTCAATCAAACAGTATGGGTTCTTTTAAGGATTGTGACCGCAAAAGCTGCGAATTCAAACTTTCCTGATAAGAAATTTGCCACCTACGAAGTTCCAGTCACGGCCACGCAGAAGCTGTACGGCTTAGCACAGTGCACGCCTGATTTGACAGTTTCAGATTGCGGCAAGTGTTTTCAAACGGCCTTACGACAGTTTCAGGAGTTTTGCGTCGTTCAAGATGAAAGTAAGGGTGTGGAATTTTGTGAGGAGATCCCACGGGTAACGGTTTTTCTGGCCGGATGTAACGTTAGATATGACACGCACCGCTTTCATAATGTAAGCAAGGTATCAAACGTACCAGCAGCCGTTGTCTTGCAACATCAGGTAACAAGCAATCCATTTTTGTTATCCTCGTAGTTAATCACATGTAAATGATTATCTACGATCTGATGTGCTCAGGAAGACGACATGCTGGATCACGAATTATTGCTGTGATCGTTGCCTCCACTATCATTTCAGCCACGCTTTTTTCTTTGAGCTGCTATTTGCTCAGGAGAAAGCTGAGAAAGAGCCGGCAAGCTATTCTCACACAAAATTGTAATCTATACTTGTTTCTCTGCATATTTAAAATAATGCTCGAATTTTGGCATGCTTAATGATGTTTTGACTACTCATGTATTGATCTAGTTGGCGAAGAAAGTTCGAAGCTGAAGTCCTTGTGATTTAATCTCACTACAATTGAAGCTGCAACGAATAAGTTTTCTCTCCAGAATAGAATTGGCAAATGTGGCTTTGGATATGTATACAAGGGACAATAATTTTCTTGTGTTTTGTCCTTTTGGATGAAAGGATTCCATCTTTATTGAAGTGATTTATATATCTCCTAATTATTGGCCTTCTGTTCAGGGAGTTCTTCATGATGGCCAAGAAATTGCTGTGAAAAGACTCTCAAAAAATTCTCTGCAAGGAGCATTAGAATTTAAGAATGAAGTTTTGCTGATAGCCAAACTCCAACACAGAAATCTAGTCACCTTGTTGGGGTTTTGCTTGGAAAAACAAGAGAAAATTCTTATTTACGAATATGTTCCTAATAAGAGTATTGATTTCTTTTTATTTGGTATACTTCGGAGTTGCTTTCACATTTTTTTTCTTCTTTTTCTTTAAAATTTAAACGTTATGCAATTTTCATATTATTAAACTTCTTATTTTCATTAATTTTCTCCATTTTGACTTGACTTCATTTAGATTCTAAAAATCAAAGGCAATTAAATTGGCCGGAACGATTCAACATTATTGGTGGAATTGCTCATGGACTTCTTTATCTACATGAACATTCTCGTTTCAAAGTTATTCATTGTGATCTTAAACCAAGTAATGTTTTATTAGATAGCAAGATAAATCCAAAGATATCAGATTTTGGTATAGCAAGAATGGTTGCAATAGATCAAGATCAAGAGAATACAAATAGAATTGTTGGAACGTAGTAAGTCTTACACTTCTTGTTTGTTGCACAGTCATGACTTGCATCTTTTAAACTTGTACGTGCTTGAATTTGGAAACAAAACGGCATTGTGTATCCTGTGAGAACATTCATTCATCCTAAAAAATAACTTGAGGATTGATCTTTACCTATTGTTTCATATGTTTATCCACAATATTCATAATTTTTTCTTGTATATCTATGATATTAAACTAATTTTTTTTCCTTTAGTGGTTATATGTTTCCAGAATATTTAATGTACGGACAATTTTCAGAGAAATCAGATATATTTAGTTTTGGAGTTATAATCTTAGAGATAATTAGCAGCAGAAGGAATGCTAGATCTTATGAATCACATCTCTTGACTCATGTGAGTATGAAGTCCAATTTAGTTCTTGTCTCTACCTGATCATTTTTTCATACCCATCTAATACACGAACATTAATGCAGGCTTGGAAGCAATGGAAGGAGGGAACACCATTACACGTATTGGACTCATGTCTAATGGAATCTTGTTCTCAAAGGGAAGTGGTAAGATGCGTGCAAATTGGGTTATTATGTGTTCAAGAAAATCCAGAAGATAGGCCAACAATGTCTCAAACTGTTTCATATCTTGGTAATCCTTCCGTTGAACTGCCCTCTCCAAGAGAACCAGCATTCTGCATGCACAGCGGACAAAATTCAAGTGAAAATATTGCAACAGAATCACTTTTGAATCGATCTTCTGTGAATCCTAATCGGTTCTCTTTGAATGAAATGTCTCAGACTGAACTCTTCGCACGATGAAAAGAGGTTCGTCTTTGCTAAAGTCATGGATCAGTGAAAAGCACTGCTTTTTGGTTGATTAAGAGTGTAT